ACTTTCAGACACCAAGTCCCTAAAGTGCCATCACATCGCAGGACTTTCCCTAGGCTTATCCATTTATCATAGACTATTAGGTTTGGGAATGAAGTTGTTGGTTTTAATTTGTTCTCTTAGAATTGTGGCAGTCTGTAATAATGAAAAAGTAGACAATTACTTGCAAGTGTACACGACGTATCTTTTCTCCCTTAAAATGGTCTATAAAACCCTCTTTCATAAAGGCTATGTAGAAATAAGTGATTTCCTCAGCTTGAAGTACCTCTCTTTTTTTTCCCCTCATCTATATCTTTTGGATTCCATCATGGAATTGTCTTTTAAACTGCTGCTGCTGCTGCTTTTTTTTTTTTTTTTTTAAATATTGTTTTTCTTTTTTTTTTTTTAATGTTTTATTTATTTTTAGGAGAGAGAGAGAGAGACAGCGTGAGCAGGGGAGGGTCAGAGAGAGAGGGAGTCACAGGCTGAAACAGGCTCCAGGCTCCGAGCTGGCAGTCAGCACAGAGCCCGACGCGGGGCTCGAACCCACGAACTGCGAGATCATGACCAAAGCGAAAGTCGGCCGCTTAACCGACTAAGCCACCCAGGCGCCCCTGCTGCTTCTTTTTTTAAAGATTATTTATTTTTTGAGAGAGACTCTGTGTGCGGGGGCTAGGGGGAGAAAGGGAGAGAGAATCCCATGCAGGCTCCACGCTGCCCGTTCAGAGCCTGACGCAGGGCTCCATCCCCTGAACTTTGAGATCTTGACTCGAGCCAAAACCAAGAGTCCAACGCTTAACCTATTGAACCACCCAGACAGCCCTGTCTTTTAAATTTCTGTTAGAACATTAATGTTGGTGGCCATGTATTCAGTTTTGTAGATGCATAGCCATAGCAGAGTGCCTGGCATTGCCCACATTTTATTCTTGAAAGGCCATGTCTACACTAATTGAATATACTCAACAGTATCAACTACTTGCCTACGTGGTCTGAAGTAAAGTTTTGGGGGGCAAGTACACAATTTAAAAACTAAAATAGTGAGGGGCGCCTGGGTGGCTTAGTCCGTTAAGCGTCTGACTTTCGCTTAGGTCATGATCTCGCGGTTTGTGGGTTCGGGCCCCGCGTCGGGCTCTGTGCTGACTGCCAGCTTAGAGCCTGGAGCCTGTTTCAGAGTCTGTGTCTCCCTCTCTCTCTGACCCTCCCCTGCTCACGCTGTCTCTCTCTCTCTCCTAGAAATAAATAAAAATATTAAAAAAAAAACCCTAAAATAGGGGCATTTAACCCCAATGGTGCATTGCAGTACCTTATAGGAGCTTTTTTTCTGGTTCACAGGGTGTCAGCCCCACCCCACTGAGTCAGAACATCCAACATTGGGTCTGGAACCCAAACATTGCTCCACATTTTAATAATTTATACATACATAAATAATTTCTTGATTATAAAAGCAAGTTCTATCACTGTCTTCAGGATTGGGACTGAAGGGCTCTATAATTGGAAAGATTCATGAGATAACCACAGACTTTACAGCTAGAAGAAAAACAATTTAAAGAGAAATAAAGTCTTGAAACTTGAATTTTCCATGTTAATTACATGAATATAGATTCTCTTCCTCCAGATAGAAATCAAGTCCCTTAGTCTTTATAAAGCAAAATGCTATGAAGTTATTTTGAAATATTGAACAAGTCAAAAGCTTCTAAAACAAAAGGTAACTTTGGTGATAAAGAGGTCAACAGAAATTATTATGAATAGAATTTTTTGTGAATTTGACCAGAAGTGCTCTATAAAAAGAAAATCACCATAACATTAAAAAATATGTTAGGTAAATCTTGCTTGGAAATTGTCTGTAGAATGCTTTCTGCCTTCAGGTCTGTATGTAGTCTTTGAACTGCAGAAGCCTCTACGACATAATAGCTATTTGTTTCGCCCAGCAGTAGTCAGTTTCAGTACTGCAGTATTTCCGTGTGGGGTGCAGATGTTTCCTGACAGCTTCTGTTGGTTGCAGGGATGGCTCCTGGCTGTTTTGCCATGGTATTTTCAGATCCCGGCACTGATTATTTATAATCCATAGTCCTTTCTGCTGGTTTGTATGTTCATAGGTCCATCTATTTTGCATCTGGTTTAGATACTAATCTCTTTTTTTAATGTTTTATTTATTTCTGAGAGAGAGAAAGAGAGACAGTGTGAGTAGGGGAGGTCAGAGAGAGAGGGAGACACAGAATCTGAAGCAGGCTCTAGGCACCGAGCTGTCAGCACAGAGCCTGACGTGGAGCTCGAACCCACGCACCGTGAGATCATGACCTGAGCTGAAGTCGGATGCTTAACCAACTGAACCCCCCAGGCGCCCCCTGGTTTAGATACTAGAAATGAAACTGTGAGGTCATGTCATCCCCACCCCAGTCCCAATCTTCATTTAGTTTACTGGAAAGTGTGGCATGGTTTTTCTTTATATGGGGTAGTTTTATGTGACTTCATAGTTGCTGCTCATACTTCGTAATTATTCTGTAAATTCTTTCATTCTCACATGCACATGTTTGAATATGTGCTCTTTTGCCAAGTAATTTTTCTAATATTGTTGCTGTTTGAAAAAGTTTAATATTTCATGATGATGTGGGTTCGAAATGAGACATCAATGACTTCATTGGTGCTTTAAGGTTGGTTAATAATTATATAAACGTGGTCCAGAACTGCTTCTGCCAGGTTTTATTGCAGGACCTTGCACATTGATAGATGAACTGGAGTCTAGGCAGTTCGAATTCTGCATCTCTCTGCTCTTTGGGGGATGTCATTGTAATGGTAAAACTAAAATACGGCCATCTTGAGGTGTGTTTTTCTTTAGGTCAGTTTGTATCCTTTGACGGCTCAGTGAGGAGAGGTCTGCTTGCTTGCTCTTATCTAAATCCTAATGTGTGCCAACAGGATAGACTAGACTTAGGAATGCGCACAGTCTGAATGTGTGGCTACTGGGCTCCTCTTTTTGCCTAGAGGAAGACAGTTGGTTACAAAGCATACTTTGCTTTCATAGTGCTCAGTTTTTATTTCCTTTATAGAAGTATAGTTGACATACGGTGTTAATACTAGATTCAGGTGCACCAGTACTCTTTAAAATAGTCTGCTATCTCGTGCTATGGTAGCACACTAAAGGGATGTTCGAGGGTATATACAATCTGCTTAGTAGGCCAAGGGAAAATAAAAGCAGTTCCTTGATTTTATTTTGTTTTGTTTTTAATAAAAGCAGTTCTTAAACTGCTCAGGTGTTGGATTTTTTTTACCCCACTTAATCAACCATGACAAAGAACTTTTCATTTGTTTCCTTGACCATTGTATTCCTAGTGCCTGCTTTGTCTTAAGACAAATATTTGTCCTAAGACACTTGATAAATATTTGTTGAGTGGATTAAATATTTAATAATTAAGGGTTACAGTCATTTTGTTAGTGGTTTGTCCACTCAGAATATTACAACCCTTAAATTTTAAAGAGTACTGCAAATGTAGGCTAGCCTAAATATGCTTGAATATAACACACATTCGTGAAGGAATATGACCGCTACTGTGTTCCTACCAAACAATGCCTTCTCATCTTTCCTTCACTGTAATAGTGGGTAGCTGACATGAGATTAGTTTTGTTAATGGAGGGTTCTAGTTGGCCAAGTGCAGCTTTGTTTATTCTGTGTTGAAATACAGTACTGAAAGCTTGCTGATGATTATTTCTCTTGATAAAGCCTTTTTGAATTTACATCTGGAAGTTGCCATGATGCATATCATTCAGTTTGTCTAGTAGTTAGAAGAAATACAACTATTTAGATATTTGGATTGTGGATAAGAGGGGGCTTATTGTGGTCAAAATATTTATTTCTTTATGGGTTTGTGCTTTGGCTCTTGATTATTTTTAATGCTAAAAACTTATAGAGAATCAGAAAATTTGAAATTTTTTTCAATGTTTTAAAATTTTTTTTTCAAAATTTGAAATGCTTTTCATCAGAATTCAAAGAGATTTACTTTTTTTTTAACTTAAGGATTTTATACCAACTCTAGTACTTGTTTTTCTTTCTTAGTTTATACACCACATTTAATGTTGATAAAGTAGATGTCAAATGTCACCCAGTGTTCTTGATCATGATTTATGTTCTTAAAAATTCATGTTATCCTTTGAATTTAACATGTATTTTTTGAGCAGGCTTATATGATGTTGTTATAAGTAGGTACTGTAAACTAGTCGTGGTTTAGTAATGTCTGCACATATAACAGCACATGCATTCTAAAAAGATGATTACATTTCATAGATAAGTTTGAACACAGGCTATTTGATGCATTCTTGGTAGTATTTCAGATAGGTTTTTTTTTTTAATGTTTATTTTTGAGAGAAAGTGTGAGTGGGGGAAGTGAAGAGAGGGGGACAGAGAATCTGAAGCAGGCTCCGCCCTGACAGCAAACCCCGGTGAGGGGTTTGAGCTCACAAACCATGAGATCGTGACCTGAGCTGAAGTTGGATGCTCAACCAACTGAGCCACCTAGGTGCCCCGTATTTCAAATAGTTTTAAAAGGCACCAACTACAGTTGATTATTGAAGAATCGGTAAGGGCAGATAGTTTTACCCTTTATTGTCATCGTATTTGTTAGTTTGTTTCTAAAGTTCATGTCTCATTTTAAGATAGGCAGTGGTATTCTGACATCAATATCATTGAACTTTAACTTTCAGTTTTTAAAATAATGGTCTTAAACTATTTAAACTGCTCTATAACTGATAACTATTTACCTGAAGACTTTTTCTGAAGCTTTTTTCATATAAACAAAATTATACATGCAATAACTTGGTAAAGTTAATTCTCCATTCTCAACTGCCTCAAGAAAGTCACCCAACAGCCTGTTACCAGCAGTAAATGTACAAAGTGATTCTAGTTGGTTGTCTAGTGTGTTTTATGAGCAGAGCATGGTTTCACTATTATGTTAGACCTTATGTACCTGAAAATGCAGGCACATTTATATGACTGAATTTAGTGCACTGATTTTCTTATTCTCTTCTTGCAGCATTTTCAGTTAGCTTTGGTTGACTGCAATCCCTGCACTTTGTCCAATGCTGAAAGTAAGTATTAAGTAATAATTTTCTACATGTATTCAGATCACCTCCTGGCAAATAATAGTAGTAATGATGGTGATGATGATGATGATGATAGTGATAAACTCCTTTGCAATTTTCTTTGAGAATTGTTGGATCTTAACTGTATTGGTTGCCATGGCTGCTTATACACATGGAGCACGTGAGACCAGTTATTGTGAACAGTCTGTGTCTAAAATAGATACGCCAGCAAACTGGGTGGTTGAATTAAAATTGTCTGCACTAATGAACAGGATTGATTATGCATTAATTGTAGATGACTTGGGGGATTAAAAAAGCAGGGTTTGCCAGTGTTTTAGAAAAAATGAGGATACAAACATTCTTATGTGGTCGCTCACTGATTCCTGCTGTGTGGTATGAAAATTATTGGTAATTATGACTACTTCCTTTGTTTTTTTTATTGCAGTTTTACACATCATATATAAAGTTTGAAGTGACTTCTTTCTTTCTTTTAATGTTTTATTTATTTCTGAGAGAGAGAGAGAGAGAGAGAGAGCGTGACAGCGTGAGCAGGGGAGGGTCAGAGAGAGAGGGAGACACAGAATCTGAAACAGGCTCTAGGTTCTGAGCTGTCAGCACAGAGCCCGACGCCAGGCTCAAACCCACGAACCATGAGATCATGACCTGAGCCGAAGTCGGATGCTTAACCGACTGAGCCACCCAGGTGCCCCTGAAGTGACATTTTTCAGTTAATTTACAAAGAATGTGTGTGAGAAACCTGTTCCAATAACCATGGTTTTCTTCCGACAAGTCATTTTCTGCTGCTGTGTACGTCTCTTTCCACAAGTAGATTGGGTTGATTATGATGTGTTTATCAACTTGTATGCGTCGTCATATTTAGTGTTCTCTACAGTAGTTAGTAAAAGTTTTAAGGATATTCATTGGGTTCAAGCTCAATTTCTTTAAAACTTTCTTGGAACATTAAAATTTTAATTAGAGTGTATGAAAACTTGAATCATTGTTAATGAAACTTTCAGGTCAAAGGATTCTAGGTTTTAGAAAGTCAGTCTTTTGCTCTAAGTGATTTCGTGTTTTAACTGTATAGGATGCCATTAAGTGAAAAGTAGTGCCAGTGTTAAAAATGTCTAAGAAAATGATTGAATACATGAAATTAGAATGTAACTTGATAGTACCTGGATGACGACATGGTATGGATTAAATCATCATCTAAGCCAGACCCATTATATCATGCTTTTACTAGAGGCAATTTCCTGAGAAGACAGAAACGATTTCTGTTTTCTTTAAATGAAACTCAGGATTTAGTACTGAGCAGTGTATTTGCAGAATAAATGGTGGGAAGGTAACAAATGCAGCAATATTGTAGTTTCTAAAAGGAGGTTAGATTAGAAAAAAGTTCAACTCATCGATACATTTATTAAATGTTAATTTATACTTTTTCCTTAATTATATAGGAGTAAGGAAACACCTCATGTTCATTTTATTGGTTATATCTTATACCTTAAAGCTAACTCTCGTAACTCTGTGTCTGTTTGAATGATAACTTTTGAGGGATGTTTCATAAACATTAGACTAATTCTTTTGGTAAATCCTCATTTTAGTCTACTCTGTTGAAGTTAAAACTCAGCTGTAGGTCCTTGCTCTTGCTTACAGGAAGACAGCTACATCTGTAGAATGAGTACCACTGGGCAGGAAACTTCCTGTTGAACGCGAAGAGGATATTTGAACCATAACGAATACATCTTCAAGTTGACTGTGTCTGTGTCTCTGTATGTTGTTGAGAAGGGAAGTAGGACGGAGGGTAACCAGCATCCTGGTTTGCCTGGACTTTCTGTGCCATGAGGCTGGTTACTGTGATGGAAGGGAACATGCTTTATTTAGAGACTTTAGGCCATTATAGTTCAGTTGATTTGGGTAGTTTATTTTAGGCAGTCTGCGTGATTACATGATAGCCGTGGTAATGGCTGGTGTCTCACGGAGCACTAACAAATGTAGATTACCTACTTTGAGCCAGACATTATTACTATTTAAATACCAGGCTCTTCTTATCTTTGCAAGGCTTATTTCTCTTGGAATTTTTAACGTCATCACATATTCGTGTACGCCACAGGCCTTGACTCTTCTTTGAAATCTTCCGTGTTACTTTGTGATACTACAAAAAATCAGAAAATTATAGAAAGTAAAGTAAGCTTTTAAAAAATGTCTATTTGAGATATTTCTATTTTATGGCACAGCTCATTTATGCAATTAAAAAGTAAGTAGATACACTTATTGCTTCTAGAGCTTTTTAAGGGGTTAATTACGGTTGGCGTTTTAAAAAGTAGAATCATGGTGGTGCGAGACTTCATTATATGTTGGTCCCTCGGGATAAAATTGTTTCCTCTAGATTTAATTAATTCTCTTAATTCTAAAAATAACATAATTTCTGAATAAAGTTGAATTTCAGAACCTTTTATGGCAATATTTGTTAAAAATTTCCACTTCTAATTGAGACTTGTCAAGTGGAGCTTTTTTTAGTTGTAGGGTTATGTTTCAGTTGAAGAGGATTTTTAACAAATATGTGGTGGCTTTCACACTACAAAAGATGACACTGGATTTAGTAATTTGTTGGCTACGGAGGCCGTAGATGGAGGGCCTAGGGATGAGCTTGGAGGGAGTTAGGGGATGCTAGCTAGTTCTTTTCTTCCTCATCACCTTTATTAGAGGGGTAAGAAGATCAGGGAGATGAGCATAGTTTTCCCATTCCTTCTGCATTCTCTTAACCTGTAACCCAGTCTCCCTCCAGTGATGTAGTGAGGTGAGATTTGGACTTGAATCTTAAGGAGAGCTGTGTTGGAAAAGGGACGTGGAGAATAAGAAAAGCCCTCAACAGATACAGGTGAAGGGGATATCTCTGTATGTAGAAATTTTACTATTATTATGTGTTTTTCACAGAAAGCTGATGTTCATCGTCCAAAGATATTTTTGTTTTTCCTCATCTCTGATTAATGTGTGACATTTAATGATTACTTATGGGGAGAGATGTAGTATTTACTTTCGATCCAAAGATGTTGTTTGGTTTTAAAGTTCATTATATATTTCATCTGTTTGTTTTGCTCTTTATGGTTACTTAGTCTAGTTCTTCCCAGGCGCTGGTCTAGGGAACAGGTATTGGCATCTCTTGCAGAACCCATTAAAAAGGCAGCCTTCTCGGCCTTGCCCCAGGCTCACTGAATCATAATCTCAGCAATCTCTATTTTTAACAAGCCTCCCAGGTGAATCTTATCGTTAGGAGAATCCGTGAGAGCGTTAGTTCATCATGCATCCCTCAGTGAGGACTTGATGATAGCCGTGTGGACCTGGTTTTCAAAGATCCTCATAAACATTTTGCCTATAAATTTGATAGGCTCCCAGACTCTTTGAAATCCGGCTGTGAAATCCAGGTAGATAGAACATTTAAGAAAGAGATTTGTCATTGAAGAATGAAAATTATGGTATTAAAGTAGCTAGAATCCAATTTTGATTCCTAGTTCATTGTTGCTTTTGTTGAATCATTCATACTTTGGCGATGCAGTATCTCAAGAAGAGCTGCAAACAGAAGCTGAAATACATTTTTGTTTGATTTTCAAGACATACTTGTTAATCTTGTGACTGTTTACTATTCTTGCCTTCTAAGTGGTTTGTCCTTTATTTTCCCCCCTAAATAATTCTGAAGAACTGATAGAGAAATGCAACAACTCCATTTCCTCTGTGTTGTTACCAGCATCATCATGGCTTATGACTTCTTTATAAATGTTGTTATGAAATATGGTATAAAGAACTAGAGACTTTCTTTGGTTTTAATATTTTTTTTTTACCCAAATACTGACTTTACTATATTGTATTGATTTGGAACTCAGTTTTTAAAGTACCAGTTTATAAAATAGATTTATAAAGAGTTTTCTCTGTTTGCTTAATCTTACAGTTTTGGACTTTGTAAGGAATATACTTGCTTGCTATAGGTTTTAATGTTAATTTTAATAATTAAACTGACAAATTTTGATATTGACCAACAATGAATACATGTAGCACATATGGCTGCTTCTGTCATGCTCTTCAGTGTTTTTGCTGGTGTATTCTGTTTTATTAAAAATAAAAGTTATGTTCTATTATTACTTAAATCTCTATAGTGTAGACTGTGCTTATGTTTGACGTTTTATACTATTTAATTTACCCCACACTACTCTGTTGGTATTGATTTTTATTTTCTGTCATCTTTGCAGTTCAATTTCACATTGCCCACTTATATGAAACCCAGGTAAGTGTTTTAACTTACTTTACTTAAACAAATGTGATCACCCATAAGTGAAATCAGGCATACATGTATTTTAATGGGATTCTGGACATTATTTCCTTCATATATTTTATATTCAATAAATGTGATCAAGATTTTGCTTAGTGAAACAGTACTTGCTGTCTATGAAGAAGTTTCATTTAATGTTTTGCCTCCGAACTTTGAACCATCTGTAGCTTTAAATGACTGTATTCAAGTTTTCTCTTATTCTTTTTTTCTTATTATTTTTTTTAAATGTTTATTTTTGAGAGACAGAGCACGAGTGGGGGAGGCGCAGAGGGAGAGGGAGACTCAGAATCTGGAGCCTGCTCCAGGCTCTGAGCTGTTGGCACAGAGCCTGGCATGGAGCTTGAACTCACAAGCCATGTGAGATCATGACCTTAATCGACTGAGTCACCCAGGTGCCCCAAGTTTTCTCTTATTCTTAATGTAGAATGCCTAGTTTTCTTTGCAAAATGTTTATAGATGGTTGTTGTAATGCATTGCTTTTTAGTTCTACTTTTTCTTAAGCTTGAAATGTCCCTTCCACATGTCACTATTTAAAAGCTATATTAGGGTCATCTCTTGATCTCATTACCAATACTTTTATGGTTGCTATACTTAAAAACCTTTCTGTTGAATTTTAGAACATTTTGTTTTTGTGTATGACAGATTTTGCTTAGTTGTCTGATAAAAGGTATAACACATAGACATTTACTCCAGGCAGTAGGATGGAAAATCAGTTATAAGTTGATATGAGAGTAAAATAGTGAGTAATCAGTTTTACCAAAACATCACTTGTATAACTGCTTTTTAGGAGAGAAAATACTGTTACATTTGTGCATCCATTTTGTAAGGTCTGTTTAGCTTCAGTGCCACCATGGAAGGCTTGAAAAAATTAACATCAGATTCCTGGACACTTCTGTCTGCTGTGTGCCCCCTTCCCCTCACAGTGTGTGTGCCCTAGCAGTAAGAATTTATGCACCCTACTAATCTAGGGGATTTTATCAACCTCGAGAAAATGCATGTGAGAATTACATCAGCCTGTAGGTCAGTCTTCACCTCCCAATGCTAATCCCAGCCTCCTGCCAACCCCCTCATTTTTGCCAGATCAGCAAGGGCCCCAGGGGAAATCAGCTTCCTCTCCAAAGTTGTTCTTTCCTTGGAGTCTTAGCTCTTTCTGTTCTCATTACCTCAGGATCTCTCTGCTGCCTTCAAGATGAGAAGTTCTGATTTTTTCCCCTAAACTTTTCTACTACTTAGTGAGATTACAGGTCTGGTACTAGCCAAAGCTGAAGTTTTCTCACTTTTATTTTTAATGAGAGGTTTTGCTGGTGGTGGAATTCTATGTTATTTGACCACTTGGAATTTACATTCCATTGTCTTCTGGCTTTCATTGTTTCTCATGAGAAGTTGTCTGTTAGTGTTAATTTTTTAATCTTGTAAAGGTAATGTGGGGACAGGGCCCTCCCTCCATTGGTTCTTCCATTTGATAAATTTTAGTTCCCACTAAGATTAAATGAAACAAAACCAAAAGAACAAAATTCATGGCAAGGAGAGCGTGTAATTATTAGGCAACAAAAGATGGCAGTTGTAAGCATATGAAAAAGATGGAAAAATCTCTATTCGAGTACTTAAAACAAGGGTTTTTATTTTCAGAGGAAAAAGTAAGAAAAGCAAAAATGCCTTCCTCCCTCCCCATAGAAAGTAATTTTTTTGTAGTTCAGCTGATTTGTAGGAATATTTATTTATGAATATGGAATTTTGAAATGTAAATTTAAGTAGTCATATATGGTTAGTGGCTATTGCTGGGTATCCAAAATAGTTCAGTTACAGTTTCTTTATATAAGAAGTCTTCCTCCTAATGTAGAAATAATTTCGTATCACTTTACAAATCCTGAGGCCCTATCCCCACATTACCTTTACAGGATTAAACAATAAGACTGTGATAAAGACAGAAAAGTGAGGGAATACTTTTTAGCAAGAGTGGTTAAGGAAGGCCTCTGAGCAGGAGCTATTTGGGCTGAGCCCCCAAAAATTTTTGGTTAAATTTAATCATAAATCTGGGTCAGGGTTACTTTAGTTTTCAGCTTTAAAAAAAAATGTTTTATTTTTATTTTTGAGAGAGAGCGAGCGAGAGAACGCGCATGTCCATGCATGAGTTGGGGAGGGGCAGAGAGAATGGGGGACAGAGGATCTGAAGCAGGCTCTGCATTGACAGGACAGAGCCCCATGTGGGACTCTACTCACGGACTATGAGATCATGATCTGAGCCAAAGTTAGACAATTAACCAACTGAGCCACCCAGGTGCCTCTCAACTTTATTGAGGTATAATTGACAAATAAAATTGTAAGATAAACTGCACAATGTGATAATTTGATATACATATACATTGTGTGAAAGGGTTTCTGCCATTGAGTAAATTAACACACCTGTCACCTCACCTACCTCTCCCCACCCCCACCAAGATTCTACATATAAGTGATACCATAAAGTATTTGTCTTTCTCTGTCTGGCTTATTTCACTTAGCATAATGCCTTACACGTTCATCCATATTGTTGCAAATGACAGAATTTCCTTCTTTTTTAAGGCTGGAATACTATTCCATTGTATTTGTATACCGCATTTTTTTCACCTATCTTTTCACCAACTCTTAGGCTGTTTCCATGCCTTGGCTATTGCCAGTAATGCTGCATTGAGCATGGGAATGCAGATATCTCTTTGTGATAACGGTTTTGTTTCCTTTGAAAATAATCCAGAAGTGGGATTGCTGGATGATACAGTAGTTCTGTTTAGGTATGGATAATTTTAAAGGGATGTCATCTCCCACACACCTGTTCTTACTAGATTTAAACATTAGATTCTCATATGTTGCTCTGTATATTGTCATACCATCTCTAAATAAAGATAGTTTTCTCTGTATAATGTCATATGTTCAAGTATAGACATGTCATATTATGAATTATTCTTGGAAAGTTCTATCAATTATTCTTTCACATTCACATTTAAATTCCAGTGTGTCAACATACAGTGTAATATTTGTTTCAGGTGTACAGTATAGTGATTCAGCACTTCCATACAACTTGGGGTGTTCATCATAGGATGGTTTAACTCCCCCTCCCCCACTTCCCTTCTGGTAACCATCAGTTTTCTATAGTTAAAAGTTCGTTTCTTGGTTTGCCTCTCCCTTCCTTTTTTCCTTTGCTTGTTTGTTTCTTAAATTCCACTTAGGAGATCCGGTATTTGTCTTTCCCTGACTGACTTATTTCGTTTAGCATAATACTCTCTAGCTCCATCCACATTGTTACCAATGACAAGATTCCATTCTCTTTTATGGTTGAATAATATTCCATAGTATTTATATATATACCACATCTTCATCCATTCATGGATGGATACTTGTACTGTTTCCATAATTTGGCTACTGTAGATAATGTTGCTTTACACATAGGGGCGCATGTATCTGAATTAGTATTTTGTATTCTTTGGGTGAATACTTAGTAGTGCAATTGGGGGATGGTAGGGTACTTCTATTTTTAACTTTTTGAGGACCCTCCATACTGTTTTCCAGAGTGGCTGTACCAGTGTGCATTCCCACCAATAGCACAAGAGAGTTCCCGTTTCTCCACATCCTCGCCAGTGCCTTTTGTTTCTTGTATTGTTGATTTTAGGCATTCTGACAGGTGTGAGGTAATCTCTCATTGTAGTTTTGATTTGCATTTCCTTGGTGATGAGAAATGTTGAGCATCTTTTCATGTGTCTTTAGGCCATTTGTGTGTCTTCTTTGGAAAAACGTGTATTCATGTCTTCTGCCCATTTTTTAATTGGATACTTTGGGGTGCTTATTGTATAAGATCTTTGTATATTTTGGATAGTAAACCTTTATCAGATGTGTCATTTGCAAATATCTTCTCCCATTCCATAGGTTGCCTTTTAGTTCTGATGATTATTCCCTTTGCTCTGGAGAAACTTTTTAGTTTGATGTAGTCCCAGTAGTTTATTTCTGCTTTTGTTTCCCTTGCCTCAGGAGACCTATCTAGTAGAAAGTTGCTACAGCTGATGTCAAGGAAATTACTTCCTGTGCTTTCTTCAAGGACTCTTATGATTTCAGGTCTCACATTTAGGTCTTTAATCCATTTCGAATTTATCTTTGTGTATGGTGAAAGAGAATGGTCCAGGTTTTGCATGTTGTTGTTCAATTTTCCCAGCACCATTTGTTAAAGAGAGTGTCTTTTCCCATTGGATATTCTTTCCTGCTTGTCCATATAATTTTGGGTTCATTTCTGAGTTTTTATTCTGTTCTGTTGATATTTGTGTCTATTTTTGTGCCAGTACTGTACTGTTTTGATCACTGCAGCTTTGAAATGTAAAAGTCCAGAATTATGATGCCTCCAGCTTTGCTTTTCTTTGACTATTCTTTGGTCTTTAGTGGTTTCCTACAAATTTTAGGATTGATTGTTCCAACTCTCTGAAAAAAGCTGTTGGTATTTTGATAAGGATTGTATTAAATTTGTAGATTGCTTTGGGTGTTACAGGCATTTTAAAAATATTTGTTCTTATCCTTAAGCATGACATGTCTTTCCATTTCTTTGTGTCATCTTCAGTTTCTTTCGTCAGTATTTTACAGTTTTCGGGTACAGGTCTTTTACCTCTTTGGTAGGTATCTTGTTTCTGGTGCATTGTAAATGAAATTGATTCCTTCATTTCTCTTTCTGCTGCTCATTTTTGGTGTATAGCAATGCACCAGAGTTTTGTACGTTGGTTTTGTATCCTACAATTTTACTGACTTTATCAGTTTTTGCAGTTTTTTTGATGGACTCTCTTGGGTTTTTCTATATACAGTACCATGTCATCTGCAAATAGGATGTCTTTTATTTCTTTTTATTGACTAATGGTGTGTTTAACAGAAGTGGTGAGAGTGGACATCCCTGTATTGTTCCTACTGTAGAAGAAAGGCTCTCAGGTTTTCTTCATTTAGGGTGA